TCTATTAATTCATCATCCCAGTGGGTTTCCTGCAATGCAATAATATCATTTTTTTTCTTCAAATAACTTAACTACATTTTTCATCTTATCTATATTTCGTAACCCATTGCAGTTCTACGAAGAGATCACAACCATTAGAAATAAAAAGAAAGTAGATAACTTCCCCATTGCTATTTATTTTTCTTTGCTTTACTCTTCCTCTTATTTTTCTTTTTCCTTTTCTTTTTACCATTGGCTGTATTCATAACGATTTCTGTGTCCGATTCTGAATTGTCTCCCGTTTCCTCTTCATCCGTTTGACTCTCGTCAGCAGGGACTTCATCCATGTCAGCATTACTTCCATCCACGTTTTCCGTCTCTTCAAGCTGAACTTCATTACTGTCCGCTTCCGTTTTTGTTTCTGTATTTTTGTGTTCTTCACCTGAAATTGAATGTTCACCTAATTCCCCTTCTTGAGCCTCTCCTTTGCCGTCCTCGTTATTCACCTCCTGATCCTTGATATCAGAACTCCATTCATCATCTCCGAAATCCGATTCATGATCACTCATGCGTTGTCTACAGGTACACCTGTTTTCCCATTCACCACACTTATGACAAAGATTGGATCTACAAGCCCTGACCTTTACATTTGAAGCATACAAATTTGGGACACGCTCTAAATAAATGTTCACTAGAATAACAGAGCGAACACTCTTTGATCTGATTGTTATGTATACATCTATAATATTCTTTCCGGAATCTTATTGTGTACTGGAATGATGACAGATTCTCTGGTAATCTAACCTTCGCGTACCGTGTACCATCTGCAATGGTTGTTCCCGGATAATATCGTGAAATTTTTTTATATCAAGGATTTTTTGAAAAGTTTATATTGGATAAGTACTTGTATAGTACGTCTCAAAATCGCAGAGAAAATGAGGGGTCAGTGTGCATCTAACTGAGCTACGGTACAATTAAGTTGACCTTTTTGCACTTAAATTATAACTCTTTGATTAATCACTTTAACCGTTATCATATTTTATCAGATGTAACCATGGCAATAAGCATAATCTTATTTTACGTAAAATTGTTTGAATAATATTTATCATTGAACAAATCATGCAAATTAATGCGCGTAAATTATTGTGTGACCTTTTTGCACTAAAAAGTCTCATATTTGGGGTATTAAAAATCTAAATAGGCAATAGAATATTTTCTTGTATCAAACTTTTTACGACTTAAGTGCTGATCGGTTAAAAGTATCGAGTAGTTTAAAAAAATGAAAGAAAAAGTTAGGGTCAGTGATATAAATTTTGAAATATTGGTGAAAATATGCGATTTTCTAGCAAAAAACTGTGTAAATTTTATCTTGACTTCTTTAATATATCTACATTTCTTGGCAAAGTTTGTTGAGCGAAGGTGTAAATTTTGTTATAAAAATCTAAATTGAGACCTATATTTAATATTCCAGGCATATCATAACGGATAATATTCTCTAAGTAAAAGTATGTAGGCTAAAGTTTCAAGATATTAAATTCAATAAATGTGTAGATTAGCAGAATTTTCTGCTAAATATCCTTCGACCACAAGAAATAGTCCCTTATAAATCTTGCTTCTTTATGAATTTTTGAGCAGTTTTTTAATTGAATGTTGAACATTTTACATTGTTTAATTTAAATATGTAATAAAGATTGAATTGTAATAAATAGTTTTTAAGTAAGAGGGTCTGCCTGAACTTTTCTTAAAGGTTGACGAGTGACATACCTTAATCGGCGATAATAACTCGACATTCATTGATTGTAGTGCCAATTCTATTTCCTCGTCTTCTATATATGCAGGTAGATGTAAGAAGCTGACTACTAGGGAACTTTGGATAACTTCTTCACATTCATAAACTTTTTCTCCTACTGTGATCCCCTTTAGTAAATACTGAGTGGGGGCTTTCCCGTCTAAAGTAATTTCAAACAAATTCCCAGACTTTGGAACACATGCATACAAAGACCCTATTCCACAGTGTTCATGCACAAATTTTATTATTTCATCTGGCTTTACTCGGGAATTGTCATGCACATTTACTACTAGAGTGTTTTCTCGGCAGTACTTTCGTTGTATGGTGAATTCACTAGATCCGCCACTTTGACCCCACCTGACGTGGCTGGCATTGTTATTTTGTATTTACAAGCAATATAGGTTCAAAGTCAAACTTATTTACACTATAATTGTAAACATATATACAATGGCTTTGTGCCTAAAGTTCAACAGTTAAATTTTGCCACTTACAACAAGCACAAATGGTCGTTTTCAATTCATCGAAAATTCCTCGTGCTCACTCCTAAGAGGCCAACCGGAAGTCTCTTTTAGTCCGTGACCTTATCCATTACGCCACGACGTCTTGTTGAATAATTTGTGAAATAAAATCAATAAATTTGTGGAAATCGAATTGGAACACCCAGTTCACCAGTTGTATCGAGGAGCTGAGCAATGTGTATATATCTTGTAAACATTTTGTATATTCTATGTTAATTGTGCGGATTTTTGGGCTGACTAATTAATTACACATCTCCTATCGGGATGATGACAATTATCGGCGACGGGCACCTGTTTTTTTCTCCAAAGAAATGATTCAAGATGGATCTTCATCTCGAAAACCGTTGTAAATTCTTGAAACAATATCTTTTAACATGCTAAATTATCGTGTTATTTTATAAATCAAGAAACAAAATTTACAACATAAAGGTTCTTCCACAAGAGGCATAAATATTTAATTCTGTTTATTTAAAATAATTTTGAACGATATCCTTTAGAAGCTAAAATATTATGTGATTTTAATAATTAAGAAACAAAATTTACAGTATTAAACTTAAAGTTTCTTCCAGAAAAGGCATAAATAATTAACTCTGTCTCGTCTTTCATAACCAGACTTATCAAATTGAATCAGCTTGTGAAAATATTCATAATAGATTTAGAAATTTTACAGAAAGAAAAAAATAAGACAATTCTATTCCTGTTAATTAAATTCTGATACGAATATTATTTTTCATCATATGAATATTTTTTCTTTAGATGACATGTAATTTTCATGAAATAAATTAGAAATTCGAAAATCATTCTGAATTTTATGAGTCCACAGTTGAATTTTAATCTTTAATGTATCTAAAATTATATTTACATGTAGAAATAAATGTTATAGTTAATAATCACAATTTAACATTCTAGTAAACAATTTAGAGACGATTGAACATTTAACCATTACCAGTTCTACTTATCTGAATTTTATATTCAATAAGAAACACATTTAAACATGTGAATGATTTTATTTTAAAAAAATTAAGGAATAACTACTGATAAACTAATGAAAAGTCGATGAAAAGGTAGTTGAATTACGACTGAAAGGTCACTGAAAGACGACGGATAGGTCACTGAAAAGCAAAGGAAAGGTCACTGAAAGGCGATGGAAAGATGACGGAAAAGTCACTGAAAGATGACTGAAATGTGTCCGCTGAATGGTGACTGAAAGTTACACCTGAATTGTGGCTGAAAGGTCACTGAAATGTACCTGCCATTCAGTGACTGAATGGCTACTGAAAAGTCACTGAAAGCCGCCTTTCAGTATTAACTGAAAGGTCTTGTTTCTTCCTGTGTCAAAAGCTGGAAACTATCAATTGTCAAATTAATATGTAAGCAATCTCAGGAAGAATAAAAATTGTTCTTTTCCTATTTTTGTTAAATTCTGGGCATAGAAAAGAATAAAGATTTACGATAGAACTTGGATTTTTAATCTGAGAAAAGGGGAAACTTAATCACAATTACTCAATTTTTAATATGTAAGGTTTTGATTTTCAAGTGAACCTGGTATATAACCTTTCAAGGTAAACTCTTGATTTTTCCTTCGAGCAGGATTTTTGCAAGCAACTTGATCAGATACGTTTAACAATAATGGATGCAAGTTCTTTATATCCAAATTTCTTATTAGTGAATTGTGAGTTGACATTTAAGGCTCGTGAACATTTTTCCTCACAGATGCTATTCCTATTGCAGTTAATAAGTTAGAGATCCTTGGAGATATATATATATATATATGTGTATATATATATATATATATATATATATATATATATATATATATATATATATATATATATATATATATATATATATATATATATATTAACGTTTGTGACGTCATCGTACTAATGCGCCATATTACGATGCCGCGTCATGCAAAGATCTCAAATAAATACAAATAAATTTTATATGCGAGGACTAACCCTAATCTCTCGGAGAGGTGCCATTAATTGATTGATTTTATGTTGTTTAACCCTTATCGGCCAAAAAGTGTGTAAGAACTTTAACCTAGATACCTTGGGATGGTGCAAGACTAACCCTATTCAGTCGAATAGTGTGCGAGGACCAACCCTAAGTCTCTCGGGTTGGTGCGAAGCTATCCCATAATCGGTCCTATAGTGTGCAAGGACTAACCCTGTTCAGACGAGTGGTCTGCGAGAACTAACCCTAATATCTCTGGTGGGTGCAAGCAATAAAGAAAATCAGTAAAATTGTATGCAAGGACAAATACTGAATTGATGGGATTTTGAATGCAGGACAACGGCGTCAAGGATTGACGTCGGAATATTTTGACGTCATAAACGTTGATTGCTTCTCCGCACAATCGAACTTTGCCGTATCAGACCATCGCACTTTAGCGCAGTGCGTCTCATAGGAAACGAGCCATCGGACTTTGGCGTAACCATCGGACTCTGGCGTCCGTACCGACATCAAACCGTCGCGGTTAGGCGCAGACCATCGGACTTTGGCTTGACCGTCGGACTTTGGAGTCTTTATATATATATATATATATATATATATATATATATATATATATATATATATATATATATATATATATATATATATATACATTCTTCATACTTATATAAATATATACTTTGCTAAATTATATAAACTTTTTGTTTATTATACTTTAAAAAAATAATAATAATAAAACCAGTTTTTGGTATTTATTTTTAGCAAAAATGCTAAAAGAATGTCACAGTTATTGAATTTCGTAAAACAAAATGTAAGCATCCTTCTGGTTAAAAACTGTGTCTGAGCTCACAGAATGAACATGTTCGTCACTGACATAAAACCATTTTTCTGGAGCCTCAGGTGCCTGTACAATGACATTTCTTTCATATAATCTGGTTTCTATGTTTCCTTTCAAAACATTTTCTAATTCTGATTTCAAATTGTCAAGGTTCCCAGCCTCTCTCTTGATTACTTCCTGCCACCTTTCAATATCGTGTTTTCTAGATGTATTTACGTACGCATAATAATGACCACTGTTTATTCCACCACTATGGACCACAACTGCATAAAGTTCATAGGTCACAGTGCCTTCTGATATATTCTGTAATGCACATAAAATAATTGGCAAATTATTTTTTGTAATGCTTCCTATGCCAAAATGTTTTGAAGGAAAAAACTCACCTTGTTTGCTACCGAGCAAAATTTTGAAAGGCAGAGTGTGCGAAGATACTGTACCATATCCGAATTTTTGGTTAGCTGATCAAAACCACTCTAAATAAATAAAACTGTATAGTCTTTTTAAAGTTTAGAGTAACTTAGACCGAAGAATTAGAAACTCATAGATATAAATATCAGATGAACGTACCATTTTAAACCTATCGATATGTATGATGAGTATTGGAGGAGGTTGATATATCAACAATCGTCTGTAAACTTTGCCTGTTCCCTCTGTTAATTACATACATTTTTGTCACATCATATTGCTTATATTAAAACATATTTAATTAAAACTTGAAATCATCTGATGTAATGAGAAAGAATTTGCACATTTTTTGCTATTTTTAAGGAGAAAGGGTTTCTATTTTCCTCAACGGGGGTCGTTCAATAAAAACAATCATACAGTTTACAATAATATATGTAGAAGTATAAAATAATTAAGTTTCATTTTCTTCACAGTCAAAAAGTTCCATAAAAGAATTCCTAATCACAGAAAATCTCATGACTTTTCCTATTGCCCTCGCAACGAAATTCACTTTGAAAGTACGTATAGCCACTACATCGAGCTAAAAAAATGTTTAAACACGACCTCTTTCAAGACGATGAAACTGAAAGCGTATGAGAATACTTTGCCTTATTACATTTCTCGCCGAACAACTCATATCAAAGATATGATTTTAATGTACAGAGAGACTGTTCTTTAACGCTATATAGTTTTCAGATGGATTCAGAAATAAAAACTAAAGGTAAAAGATAAGAATTAACATAGCCGTGAATCTGGTCGATCGAAAAATATGAATAAGGTGATCAGAGGGTCAGATTTAAACTGATAGACATTGCCAAGACACTTAACATTTTATCATCACAACAGTTCAAAGAACATTGATAAAGGAAATGAATATAGTAATATTTCTATTATTTAAGTGTTTTCCCCAAATTCCTAAGAGAAAACACGTGTTCAATTTGCCATTGAATGGTACATTTAAAAAAAATTATTATTTTTAGTGATAAAAAGATTTGATGAACTTGCATGATGCATCACGAAACATAGATGCACCTTTTATAGCCGAAAAATATCAATAATAAAATGTGGAATCAGAGAGAAAGTTTTCGTCCTTTTATTATAAAGAGAAGAAAGGGTTCGAAACATTTTTTTGATATTTTTTCGAGAGGTCAAGTGAAACATGCCTACACACGCAAAGAAATTAAAGGATCATCAGTGGTTACTTTTTTTTTTAAAACTTCACAAAATAGATCAGCAGATTTCTTGCCTAAGAAGTGCAAATACTGGTCCCTGGGGTTATTTTCTAGTACCCGACATTGCTGCCGCAAATACACATAAAGAAAAGAAAAGAAATTTTCAAAAAAGGAAAATTGATAGAGCTTTGGCATTGCCAATGTGTATTAGATATCAGCCATTGTAGGGTGTTTTTATTCCACAAACGCATGAACACAATTAAAGGAAAGAAGTAAAATTTCAGACATGTCATGGGAAGTGCTATTCATTGGCGTCTTTTGGGCATTCCTAAAGCTGAGTTTGTTGAGGTTTTCTGGTCATGGGTACAAAGACTTCTGTAAAGGGTTAATTGAAAATATTAAGAATCTTTTTAAGCACTTTTCTTATTTTTAGATGACATTTTGCATAATATATTGAACGACCCCCTCTCTTTTTCTTTATATTTTCTTTCATAGATCATTTTCGCACTAAATACCCGTGGTCAAATTAAGCATTGCGCAGGTGTGTTAAGGAAGCACTAAGATAATCTGACTTGACTAAATCAGTGATACAATATGACGTCATAGTAGGCGGGTTGACGTCAAGTTTAAAACACAAGTTTTCTTAATACTGTTATTTAGAGATATAATTTAACTCCTAAAAATGAAAAGAAATGTGCAAATATTACCAAAAATCAAATGTTTTTATTTTGTTATGCTGTAACTGTCACTTGAATTAAAATCTCCGACCGATAACGTCATAACTGTTCAACAAGTAACTTGAGAATCGATCATGTTGCGTAACGAGAATTGGGCGTGTAAAAAGACGTAAAAGGGGGTTTCGAAGCAAATACCGTGAATATTGTGTGTTATTCATGTGAAGTTAAAATTTGTTTAACAGGTATGTTGATTTATTTTCATCGATTATATCTTCTATTGGAGACAGTCAGCTACAGTCCCTGAAACGTTCTACTTTCCCACTTGAACGGTGAGCGAACGCTGAACGAACGGTGAACGAACGCTGAACGAACGCAGAGCGAACGGTGAGTGAACGATGTGTGAACGCTGAACGCAACTTGGTGAACGATGTGTGAACGGTGAACGGTGAGCGAACGCAGAACGCGAACGGAGCGCAAACGCGAACGCAAAGTGAACGGTGAACGAACGGTGAACGCAAGATGAACGATATATTCGGAATGCCTCTGATCTTTTCCTTGCATTGAAACTATTTTATTGTATTATAATGTCAGGTGCCAAAAAAAAAATAATAATAAAAAAATAAGTAAACCAATAAATGAATGAATAAATAAGTCAATAAAATAAATTCTCCAAAATTGTCCTAAGAAAGACGATTCATGTACATTAAGTTTTTAATCACACGATTTTTTAACGCATTAAAGCATTGCAATTGTTGCCGCGCCGAACGCTGAAGTATAAAAGATATTTTTTTAGTCGGAAAATAAAAATGTTTATTCTTATTTGATAACAAATCAGAGAAAACTTCTGCATGTGTTCTGACTTATAGAATGAATTAAAGCGCTTGTAACATCCATTCATATATGTATCTCCGTGTCAAGGCGATTTCATGTAAAGTAATAAAAAAAAATTAATTACAAAGGTCAGTGGACGTTTTGCATTTATACGCTCGTATTTTAAATGTTTAATACAATAATATATTATGTGTCATTTCTATTTTTCATGATGATTTATTGAGCAGACTTCTACATGTATCTGTAGATGGCTGTGATTATACTCAGACAAGATAATACAAAGATACATATTCATATTATTTGTTATAAATTCAATTTTCAGAACTTGATATTTAAGTAATATGCTGTTATAATTTTTATCAAACAGACAAATGAGAGAGAGAGAGAGAGAGAGAGAGAGAGAGAGAGAGAGAGAGAGAGAGAGAGAGATTCCGTTTCAGCCCCCCCCCCTTTCCTTTCAGGCTTCACTAAATGTTTGCACCTATATCAAACAATAACTCTGATATTTTTTTCTAAATATATTAGACAGTGAAAGTAACTTTTTTTAAATCAACAAATCATATCCATCTGTTTGACAGTATTACTCGTTTTTGTTTTCCTGCTTCAAGTTCACACGAAGTCCACGTGCTTGTCCTGTCAATCAAAATCATTCGACACTGTGCAGGTGTGAAAGTTTCGTCACATCGAAGACGAAGTGCGAGTATTTCCAACAAGTTATAACATTTATTTTTATCATTTCTAGATTTGACACCAACATTTGAATAATTAGTGAATAAAATATATTGGGCATTAACACTTGAATTTGAAACATACTCTGCCAATTTCAAATACCACCGCCGACACGTGTACATTTTGAACTACTATTGTTTTGTGACTTTTTTAGATGCATGTTTGTTTTGAGACTGAATTTTTTGTTCTAAAAAAGACCTTAACTTTTTTTTAACAGGTTAATTAAAATTTTCTGGAAATACAGTACTGACTAAGTAACCAATTTAGGGGGAAAGGGGGGGGGGTATTAATTATATCGAATAGCAAACATATAAAGTTACGGTGAAGAAAGATTTTTTTCTCTATAACTATAGACTTTACATACATGTACATGTATTATAGTAGCGAATATTCTGTAGTGCATTACATTTTAAATAAATATTTCCTTTAAACACACTATCAATTTAATTCGCTCCAAAGATAATGAATTAGCAGGATATCGGCAGTACTATGTATAACTCTCAGAACTAGTTCTATCATATTTTCTGTTGTAATTGAATAAAAAAAAAACCGCATTAGAAATAAATATTTTCGTAATTTTGCTGCGTAATTATTTGACTTGGATAATTATATCTCCATTAACGATTTGTCGTCTTTAACAAAACATCAAAATGTTGCAGTGCTTGAAGTATTTGCACATTGGCCTTAGTTAAATTTAATATTTCAGCATCGTTCTACATAGGTACAGGATGTGCTTATAACAACATTTTTTTCCAGAGTAATTTAATAAATAACCTAATAGCTAAGTTAGAATAATAAAAATATATATCTTAGATTTTTCCCCCATGAAATAATGATTCTTCAAAGACGATATGTTAGTATTAAATTAAAAAATCCGTTACTCCTTACCTACAAAAAGATAAGTCCTTTCACTTGGGAGTTCCGAATGGCAATGACAACTGAACGATAGGTGAACGCTGAACGCAAGGTGAACGCAAAGTGAACGGAACGAAGAGCGAACGCTGAACGCTTCGTGAACGGTGAACGCGAGCGCACGGTGAACGGTGAACGCAAAACTGTGAACGGAGAGCGAACGGTGAACGCACGCTGAACGAACGGTGAACGAACGGTGAGCGAACGGAAAAATGGGAAAGTAGAACGTTTCAGGGACTGTATTTACGTATCCCGGTTGGCCTTTCCTCTGTCATTCGTAACAACAATAATGCAAAAGAACAACACCAAGCTGGATACTTAAAAACATAAGATTTGTACATATCAAAAACATGTGTTCTAAAATTCTTGGAAAGTGCTGCTAGAATCGTGAGGTAAACATGGTTTGAAGTAATCGGTTATATGTATAAAATGCAAAACATCGGGTAAGGTTTCGTGCAAATATGTGGAATAACTATTTTCCCGACCGGACAGTGGGATTCTAGCAGCACTTTTTAGACATAAGAAATGTTTTTCAACTATATTATATACTCAAAGAAATTATTAAACCCCGGGGTAGTGTCGTTCTGTGAACTTTTTTATTAAGGAATATTTTGCTATTAATAGCAGTCACGTGATGACTTCGAGGTGGTGCACTACTTGGCCTCAGACACTCCGTGTCTTTATGTAATATTTAATAATAGTTTACGTTTTATCGGCGACTTTGATAAATTATCAATCTTAATTTTTTTTTAAAAAGTTTAAATTTCCCGAGAAATGATTTGTATGCTTCCTTAACATACCCGCGTGGTTTTCTAATACATTGGCATATCAACAAGTCACACATATTGTAAAATAAATATGGGCAATTCCTTAGGATCCTGTCCTAAATATCAACTGGAGCGCCAAATTCGTATTAATTTCACCTGTTTTGCAAAGGCGACAAGGCAAATTTCTTTCTTCGTACTCTTCTATTTGTGTTAAACTGGCAAGTCCCTTTTCAATGTCGTTTTCAGGCTCCTTTAAGCAAACTGCATTTAGAGCTTTGTGGTGCGTGTGCTGAAATAAGAAAATATTTCTCATAATAACCCTTTTTCAAATTTATTATACAATATAATTTTACCTTTTAATCCCAAATGGTACTAAATTTTAACATGGAATATATTGAATTTGATTTGAATCAAAATTCTATATCTTACGATAAATTCATTGTCAAATTCTTCAACTATTGGAATGCTTAACGTTGTAAAGTCCTCGAATTCCACTTCAACCTTCAAATATGATACATGTATTAAACAGGGCATTAAATTTTAGGTATAATGTTACGTGTACCTGATTATATATGTATTTTTCTGTAGATAAAATAATAAATGCCTACAATCGAGATTCATTAACAAATTTGTTTATCGAAAAGTGTAAAGAAAAATTTACTCTAAAATAGGTAGAGGTAAACGATTTTTGGAAAAATTATTAAAAATTATATAAATTCAAAGTGAGCTTTATTCTTCTGTTTCTTTAATATTCTAAAAACTAGACTAACATTTTACTCACATCTTCACAAGTTTCGTAGAAATATATTGTGATATATAAACCGGAAAACAGATTCTTTATGTTAGCATTCGTCCAGTTATTTTTTAGATCTACAAAATTGATTTTTTCTTCGTAGTATAGAAGTATTATTTGTTATCTTAGAATTGATGGAATTATTTCATTTATTTGAATCTTATTTGTTAAATTGTACCTTGAGAAATACCCTCTTCTCTTCCTGATTTCTGAAAAAGTTGTATATTGTTAAATTTCCAAATAAAGACATTCAAATAATACCCTAAATATACAAATATATATAATTGCAAATGTGATACAAAAACTCACTACATTTTGTATGATTTCGTCAAGGATGCCACCTAGCAGTGTATTTAATAGTTCATAGCTATCCTCCTGTGTGCCACGGCCAAATTGGTTGTTTCTGAAAAATGCAAGGATTAAGCATACATACATACATACATACATATATATATATATATATATATATATATATATATATATATATATATATATATATATATATATATATATATATATATATATATATATATATATATATATATATATATATATCAGGTTTGTGCATGAAACTATGCAGTTAACTGCTATGTTATTAGTTTGCAGGAAGCTGTTTTCTATTACTTACATGTTCCTTACGGCATTCAAAACTCCCTTTAACTCATTTGTGTGATCTTCATCTTTCTTCGATTGTTTTTCCAGTAAATCAAGTAATCTTTGGCTTAGTATCATATTCTCAAAGTTTGCGTCCGAATCCTTTTTATCAAAATAATTTACTTATCAAAAAAAATATTATTACCAAGAATCGTAAAGACAAAATGATGCAAGAAGTAGAGTAAAGTCATCCTTACCTTTAAATATGTGAGTACTTCCCTTAGAGACTTCGTGAAATACAATGCCTGTAAATAGATTATTAGTTTTAAAGTCCTTTTATTGTATATAAAAGCAACTTATGCATCATAGATTTAAAGAAAAATCGTGTACCTGCAAGGACGAATTAAAAAAGCACGTGTTTCCAAGGTTTCTGTTTCCCTATAAAACACATGAGCAGTTTCAAAAAATTAATAGATACATGAATATTTGCAAAGACCAAAACCGTAAACGTGCCTGTGTGTGTGTTTGTGTGTATGAAAAGGTTCGCATATTGAAAAAAAAAACCAAATTCCTGTAGGTCGATTGAACATTTTGCAAATAAACATACATTTGCACCATTAAATTTGGATTGTTATTGTATTTATCATAATGCATTTGCTCTTTGTCTTTTCCGATAAAATAATATGTTTCTCTCTCTCTCTCTCTCTCTCTCTCTCTCTCTCTCTCTCTCTCTCTCTATATATATATATATATATATATATATATATATATATATAAAATATGTGCATCTTTCTATCTCTCTTTCTTATACTTGATAAGTTACCTTTGGAGGTTCAAATTCAACCACGTTAGAGCTTGGTACCTAAGGTATAAAGTAAAAAGTTTCTTCAATATAATCTATAAACACAACTGTTTTAAAGATTTCATTTAACATTTTTTATTTGCATGTTTTACCTTATCTGTGTTCCATTTGATGCCATTTTTGTTAGGATTCTTAGAACGCTTTTTATTCTTTCTTGGTTTTTTCTGCATACATAAGAATAAAAAGAATGAAAGCATATTCACTTTTTAAACTTTGTTCTCATATTTTATACTCCGTCCAAAAATCAATATCTGAGAAAGATATACCTTTTGTTTGTTTTGTTTTTTAATTTCCTTCTTGGATTCTGTAATAAGTTGTTCCTGTGACTCTTTTGTACTATACTAAGTATAAGGTGATTTTTCTTAAGATAAAGAAGAATAACGAATACATTTCAGTACTGAATGAATATTAAATCATACAATAGTAATTCAATACTTTAGGAACCTTTGTTAGAATAAATAATAAAAAAAAATATTACAACTTGGTAAGTCTGTGTGCAAGCATCCTTCATAAACACTGTTGCTTGTGCTTTCTTGTGCTTAGTTGAAATTTTTAAATCTGTCTGAACACAACTCTGTAAAATAATGTATTAAGTGTTATTTCTATTTAGGAGATATATCAGACAATGTACATGTACATGAATGTGTAGATTTTTTGTAGTTTGCTTACCTCCTTTGTACAAAGTTTTGAGTTTTCAATTGTTCGCTCAGATAAAGTCGTATCAATGACCAGATGCTGTAGCAAATAATAAAGAATATTAAATTATTTCAAATGTATATTACGATATTATATATATATATATATATATATATATATATATATATATATATATATATATATATATATATATATATATATATATATATATATATATATATATATATATATATATATATATATATATATATATATATATATATAGTCATTAAAGCGTCAGCTTAGAGCAGAACAAGATTCGTAGATAAAGTAATTAATAGGTCATGTATATCTCAGTGTCTGTTTTTTTCTACGGAAGTATCTTATTATATTCTGTTTACACATGTAAAATTCTTGGTGAAAACAATTGTAACTGCTGCGATCTTTGTCCACTACATGAGAAAAAGGACCAAAGAAACATGTCATATATAGAAGTTTTATTTTAAAGGTCAGAATAAACACATATAAATGTAAAATTCAATTAGATAAAAAACAGTTGTAATGTAAGCTAAGTGTTGTGTATGGCCACGTGGGTAGCCAGAGAGCAATGAGGTTTATTGAATGCGAAGTGTATTGAATGCGAAGTGTATATCCCAGTGTTGGTTTTGGAGATGGGAAAACTATTATGGATTTTGGCTTTCACAAGTCATTTTCAGCTTAAAGAGAGATTTTTTTTTTTAACTTGTGTTTCCTTTAGATGTAACATAAAAAGGTTTTAATAATCATAAATATAAGACACGTCAATCTCTATGTTCTCAAATGTACTATTTAGGATAACTAAAGGTGTCATGGACATGATTTTCCCTTTATGTACTTTTAACTAAATTATCCACAAAATAATGATAAAGATATCTTTTGTTCAAAATATTATCCATACCTTAACTTCCTCCTTTTCGGTGTTCTGTCTTCTTTCTTCCTCATACTATTGATGATGTGTAAAAAAAAATTGATATAATGAAAGAAGTTCAAACTTGGGCTTAGAGTCTCTGCATTTTATTCATTACTCATTTGTAAGACACCTTTAATTCTTCAATTTAAATTACTTCATATTGCTCTGTTTTAAACGAAATGCATAAACTCTAAATAAAAAAAAAATCAAAAAATGTTTATTAGCTATCTGATTTAAAAAATCATGTTCTTCAATTATTTTTTTCTTATCAAATGATTATTTAAGAATATATATAATCTTAAAATATTTAATCATACCCTGGTTTCCAAAGGAGAGCCAGTTCTAAAATCTTCTGTCTAGAAGATTAATGACAGGCGAGTATAGTCTATGAATTATGCATAAACATATCAAGACTAAAAAGCTGAAGATAACGAAAAGTGATCGATCTCAAAAGAAATGATAACCAATACAAATATGTGAAGAAAGAGTAAAACATGGACCCCTGGAAATTCCAGAGGTGGGAACAGGTAGCTACAACATAAAACAATGCGGTTATTCCCTATACGGGTATTTCAAAAAGTTACCTTTTCTGACTTCTGATTTCTTCTACATAACTGAATAACGTATAGTAGACAGAAACACAGACCGACAATAACTGGAATTTGGATATGGAATGGATCTTCATAGTTCTGGGCTTTAAAGAAATCCTGTAACATTTGAGTAAATTTGAATTTTACATTTCCAACTGTTTTCCCTCCTACAAAACTATTTGATATAAGATTGTTAAGGCATAAAAAGTCGACGCAATAAACATATTCATTATATACAATTAAGTTTCAAAATTAAAAAAAAAAAAAAAAAAAAAAAAAAAAAAAAAAAAAAAAAAAAACATTTGTTACATGTATAAATCAGTCAAAATGAAAATAATAGTAAATAAAGTGCCTTTTGGAAGACTTGGTCACGTATCAACCCTTATCAGTAGCCTGAACATTATTAAAATTGTTATCTTATTCTTGAACTGAAATCGTTATGTAAAGAATGATATAGTAAAAATTTACAAAAAATAAGTTTGGTTTTAAATCATAAAAAAATAGTTTTTTTTTTTTTTTACCTTCCTTAATACTTACAAGTGCACTAAACAGAATTGTGTTTAACCAATCCATATCCCTCACCACAATCTAAATTCAATGATAAAATGATTTTGCTTGTCTATACATATCTCATATCATTTCAAAAAGGTCACGTTATTTTTTAATGGGTTAGTTCTTAGTTAAAGTTATATACCCATTATAGTTGTAAAAGATGCTTATTGAAATTTAGTTTTATTAAAATAGAAGTCTAATTTTTAGTAATTTTAATTAACCTGTGTGTGCACATTGCACTCGTTACGGAAATGTAGAAAAATCAGCGATTCTTTCGTTCTTAAGTCTATAATTAACAATAACATAGTGATAATGATGTGATTATTCTAGATTTCTTTTTTAGATTTAAAATTAGTTTGTAATAACGAGCTTACCTAAGACGCAATATCGAAGAGGTAAATAAGAAACCAGTCAAATAATACCATACTTAGACAGGATATAAACTGAAAGTTGTCATGCAGATAGGCTTTTTAGTAATCATTACGTGTACTCCTTCGTGGAAATTACTTTCGTTTTGAATCCATGATTAAAAAAAAACCTTAAGGATTTTAAGTACTAATAATAAACATATGCTTAAATTGGATAAATCTTGAATTTTTTACTTCTTCTTTTAAATGCATACATGTTTGTGTATTCACTCTTAAGCATGATGTAGATAGAAATTATAAAATATATAATATATTATATAAATGACTTCAATAGAACAAGTATAGCATTTATTCTCTGTACTAACAGAATAGGATGATTTAAAACATTGATTTCACTTGTTTTAATTAAATATGCTGATATTAAATTTGCTTATTTGATAGAAGCAAACGAATTACTATTTTTGGCAGATTCAGGTAGCCATAAAGTGCAGTTGATACCTTAAGAGGTCGTTAAATAATGTTCAAGTTCTGTTCTTGGAATTTACAAAATGCCACTAACACTATTTTTGTTGCCTTTGAGCTGCTTTGGTTAACAATGCTAGAATCATACATGAATTCTAGTGTCATACTTTTCAAAAACTTAAAAACAACACAAGCAGAGTTAGGAGAACTACGTGACCGTTATCAAATATGTGATATACACGTACATGTATATTATTATAAAAAAAAAAAAAACAACATTTCCATGAGGCATAGAAGAAAAGACAATAGCAAACTTTACATCCGCTTTCATTTATTTTTTTCTCTTTGAATGACTCGATGACACCGTCATATTGTCAAGAGAAATTGTTCACTGTTATCAAAAGACCGTTTCTATAACACTTCTTCTTTTTTATTTTGATGCCATTATCTAAAACATTTTTACTACATTTTCAGTAAAAATTTATTACCAGTTCTAAAAAAAGCAAACGGAAATCCGAAAAAGCGTTACACACAGTTACTCAAAACATAGTTTCATATCTAAGGATCAAATTTTTGGTTCAACGCATGTTTGCAAAGTTAATGAAGTCCTTAGTATCCTTATTCTATCAATTTCCATTTTCTGTAAATAGCGTTATTTCATAGTGCACACGAAGTCTTGCGATTCCTAGTCATTTTAAGCTTCATGTATACATGTAACACATTACTTGCTTTAAGATTTTTATTTGAAATTCAGTAATTAAAGAATAGCATTTCATCTTCGAGAAGAAAAACAATTGTAGAAATAGGAATCCGTAATCATTTATATTGATTTAAAGCGATACAGATGCCAGAAATACAAGTACAACTAATCTATCTAAGCGTCGAATCAAGAATCGGGGCGTATGGAATAAATGTTTTATTTCAATTGCCCCTATGACCAATTATGTGTTTAAAATTGTTCCTTTTACTTGGAAAGAATTACATGTAGTATATTTAACGTCTACTGAAATTTGTAGTAGCAGCGGTGGCATTGGTTTAGTCAAAGAATTCAGTCAATACTTTGTATCGGTGCTACATGACAACGTCGATCAAAATCACCACATGGAAGTTTTCCATCAAGGGCAATTTTCAAACATGCAAAGCAAAACTCTGTTTTACAGATAGTACATGTCATAGATTTACAGGCCTGATCATGCTGCAACAAAGTTTTGCAGTTTGGACAGAGACGTTTTGAAGGAACATTTTCCATATAGGAATATCCAAGTGTTATTTTTGAACAATCCTCCAGCTGTCGAATAATTTCGAAATTTTGTTCACTTTCGTTTGATGAGCATTCATGATCTTGTGTCCAGGGCCCCATACAATACCAACAAAATTTATATGGGTAAAAATAGTCATTTGAGCACTTATTACATTGAATATGTGTCTGGAAGCGTTTCAGCTTCTCGCAATACGAATCACATCTTGGACAATTCTTAATTTCGTTTCTTTTACATCCGTTGATATAGTTAAATGAAAGTTTTCCACAGTAGAATATGTACTCGTCAGCACTTAGCATGCATTTATTTAAAATGTCTAAGTTATCAAATAACTCATTGCATATTCCATAATCTGTTTTTCCAGGGCATCGTAAACAATACCCTCTTTCAAGAACCAGTTTACGAAGCAGTCCAAACAAATTGTCTGGGGCTACAAAAGAAGCAAGAAAACTTACAGTTATTTCCTTCTTTCAATAATAAGAAGTGTAATTTTTATGGGATAATATATATATATATGTTGGTTTTTTTTTTTGTTTTTTTTTTTTTTGTTTTTTTTTTTTGTTTTGTTTTTGTTTTTGTTTTTTTGCTTTCTCAATTTCTTCAATGTAGAGAAGATAATATAATAAGAGATATGGCAAATGAGCAATGCATGCTTGTTAAAAGTTCTTTGGACAACTTTTGACCCTTATGAAAATAGTGTTATGCTTCATAATCACATATGTAGGATTCAGCTATTTTTCTTTATTTCAAATTAAGTTATAAGAATTACAGACCGTTCAGTGGTCAATCTTAATTTATCAGAAGGCATATTTTTACGTTTTGAAATACATTAGCTTTAAAGGAAACAGAGCGAGAATTTTTAGATTTTTTGGTTAGCATGTAAATATCTGATCACATGCTCAATATTTTTACAAATTGCACAAAGATTCTTCCTGCTAAATGATACATTACTTATTGCATGTCCACAAGAAAGTTCTAGTCTTGGCTCTGATTCATACTCCCAGATGATATCAGGTTTTGTTGTAGTTTTACACCCTGATAATGGTCGACTTTCTGCCCAAACCATGACATGAAATGGATTGTGCAGGACGTCACTTGTTGTTTCTGGATCATAGATGAAGAAGTTTTCAATGTTGACAATATCAATCAGCCAATACTCAGTATTAAGGATCGAGGCTACAGATCTTCTAATCTCATCCACTGTACCAGCCTAAGTGTGTATTCAAAATCATACTATGTATTTACAATCTATTCATTCCTATGAGTTCTTTTGATATTATTAACAAAGATAGAATGTCATTATTTAAAACTTTATAAACATTTTACCTTAGGTACATTATACAGTACATCAGATGACAACGTCTTGAATGCCAGGTACTCTGTCATAATTAAAATTCTCGAAGTCTTTACCTATATAAATTTAGTCACAGTTTTCCAAGTTGCTACCTGTCAGAATTCAAAGAAAATAAATCGAAAGCAAAAATTATGATATTAGAATTGGAAAACCCGCTTCATCGACGTATATATAAATAGATTTTTAATAATTTATTACGGAATACAGTTAATTTAGACATAAATAGTTCTGAAAAATATATAAATAAGATACAGTTAATCATACTATAAATAGATAACGGAAAATTTCCACTTTGTTGTATTTTCATTTCACCATTATATATTGAGACCGCAAGTTTCGATTTTCATTCGTGGGATGTCTTTACAGAAAACAACACGTATAACAATTTGTGAAAGGGTGACATAGAGAGATGTCTCTAACAATTTTTGTTAAGATGTCAACAAGGAACAAGAGTGAAACCATTACTGTCCAGAAGGTATGTTCTTTATACATGAATTAACCTTTCCTTGCATACACTCTTGAAGAAGGTGTCAAGTGAATATGATGAAAAGTATTTAATGTAATGTGGAGCTAAAGATCAAAAATCAAGCTCAAATGTTCATTGAAACAATAGGCCTATACAATTTGGGAACCAAAAAAAATTTCAAAATATATTTCACAATAGATAAAATTCAATTTCAGTCAGATGAATTTTTGAAGATATTTGAAACCTTGGCTGGAAGAGTAGGAATTGAGCTGCAACATATTCGGTTGACATTTAGTGGTAAAGAATACAGACATGACCAACCGGAAGCTCGGAAAAGGATAGAAGATATTGGAATTAAGGACCGCTCTACTTTGTTTATGGTCTCAAGATTACCAGGGGGATATCTATAGTCATACTAACGACATAGGACAATACGAAGCATAATGACGTAAACTTTACAACCAAAGTAAAAGTGATATTCATTTTTATATGTGAAACGAAATGCAGTATTTCTCCTCGTTATTTGAATAGATAATGTGACACTCACCAGATATTCAAACATGTGTTGTAAAGCTTAAAAAATGAAATAAATTCTAAAATTGTTGGTTTTATTGTATGTTAATTTTTAGTATTGCATTAGTACACGTTTCGCGACTGTTTTAGTGCATAACAGATAACAAATTTTGCATTTTTACGTAATTTTTAGACTTATACTCGTTTTGGTGACTGGCTATTGCTGACGACAGTTGATTCATCCATAATACCCAGTAACGGTCGAGCTCGTTGGAGGCAGTTTTTTTAAAATTCAATTACCAATAAAGGTTTTTGTTACCTACTTCTAGTTTATATATATATATATATATATATATATATATATATATATATATATATATATATATATATATATATATATATATATATATATATATATATATATATATGACATATGGCTTTAGGAGACCAAGGAGGTTATATTTTCTGGCTTAGGGAGACCACTGGATTAAGGCGACCTTTTTCGGTCTCCCTATTATTTTGACCTCATCAGTATTGCAAATGTCTTTTTATAGATAAATAAACAGTCTGCCATTAAATATTATTAATCTTTAACTCTGTTATTTAACATTCAAAAGTTGTCTAATTTCTATCATCTTCCCTAAAAAAGAAAAGAATTTATAACCTACGTATAATTTCAAAGGATAATTTTTCTGCATTTTGGAGACCATGAAAAACATGCAATTAAACAAAAAATCTAGCATATATATTTTTTCCGCTTTTGATTTGTTCAAATGAGTGTTTCTTTAACTTAGTTTTCCATATTTTATGTTAAAAACCTAAAAAGGAAAAATATTGTAAATTTATGAACCATGTTTTGAATTCTTAGCAAGTGCTTTCCGTCATTTGTTCCGAATGCCATCGGAATGCCCCTTCAGTTTTCAGAAAATGACCTCTGAACACCATGGATGTTGAGAAATTTGGGTAAGTAACTAAAATGATACAGTAATAAGTTGTAATTAAGAATACACAAGACAAACATTCGTTTGGTTTTGTTGTTGTTGTTTTTTTTTTTTTTGCCTAGTAATTTAGCTTTCAAGAGAAAAAGTATGATTTTAAATAATCGTTAGACTATAGTTCGGTATATAAAATCCTGAAGGAAATTCGAAATAAAGTTAAATGATAGGCCCCTATATTTTTTTAATTCTTTTATGCAAGTCCACAAACAAATTAAATATTTAAAGATTAGGCCGAACGTTGAAAAAATAGTCTCGCAAGTTGACGCAGCTATTTCGAGCTTAAAAATTTAAATTAAACTTTCTGTAAACATCATGCAGGACATGATCATCATGATATAGTATAAATGAAACAGACCCTGTAAGAAAAAAATAGCTGTAATTTAATAATTGTTTATTAATATAATGTGGTCCTCTGCTAATAGAATATATATGCTGTAAAAAAAATCTGAATCAGGGTGAAGCAGATTTGATACAATACATGGCTGAAGGAACGGGGGGGGGGGGGGGGGGGGGGAGGGGGCAGGCCCCCTGTAATTTTGCTGAAATTTAGGTATACTATAGAAAACATTGCTCCTTTATGCTTGGGCCCCCTCAATAGTAACCTCTGATGATCTATTTTTCTTTTGCTTTTGGGCCCCCTCAATAATAAACTCTGATAATGTATTTTTCTTTTGCTTATTAAAAATTTTTTGGTTTGTAGCCTCCCCCAAACTGAAACTGAAAAATGTTGTTTGGTTGTTCTCACCCCCCCCCCCTCCAACTAAATTACGTACGGGCCTATTCTCCATCCCTGAGGTTTTCTTTCACCAAAGAAAGATGAATTGGTAACAGTTCAGATATATATAGCAATATTTACGGAAGGGAATATTCTCGTTTAATTATGAAGATGTGACAGTAACTCAGTCAAAGCCACAGTGAGTGTAACATTTATTTAATATTATTGTTAATGTTTATAAATAGTGAAATACTGATACTGTGAAATTTTAATGGATATATAGAAAATATAAAAGTACAACCATTTATTGTAAATCACATACATGAAAAGCTTCTTTTTTTTAGCAAATTCTTCATTTTTTCATGAAATTATTTTATTTCGTATGTATGATAATTTATTTCGTATTTTAATTCTGTAAACAAATCATTGTCGCAGCCTAGTTCCCTTCATTATTTTCAGCAGTTCAGTGACAGAGATAAAATAATCATATGAGGTTTATACCCCCCCCCCTCCCCACCAAATGAAACTGAAAAATGTTTGGTTTTGATCCCCTTCAACTGAAATTGATTCCTACTTACCATGCTTACAGGCTTAACTATGAAGATGTGACAGGGAGTGTAATAACAATAATTGTTCAGACGGATACATATTAAGCTGATATACGTATCAAATTTTAATGGATAGATAGAAATTAATAAACAATTACAACCATTTATTATAAACTACATAAAGATAATTTTTCAAGCAATTTGAAATTCTTCATTTTTTATGATAATATTTTATTTCGTATATATATATGTTTATAGGTTTATTCGTATCAACAAATCTGTGTACGAGTTAATAACGCATCCTGGTTCCCTGCATTTTCAGTGAACCACAGAGAACCAGAATAAGATTGTAGGGAAACAAGCCTTGTTACAAGGTTTGAGGTTTGTTTATTTTATATTTTAATTTACACTTTTAAAAATTATTATTATTATGCAAAATCTGTGTGCAGATGAATATTTACATTTTAATGTTATAAGTCGTTTTGTGGTTCATATTTGCGGTGACTGTCCCACGTGTGTTTACCTGTTTACATTCACCTACTGACCTAGAGTCTTCAAAATATACCTTCTGTAATCATGACTGTTGTAATCTTGTTTTTATGTTAGTTTACCATATGTAACTTGACTGTTGTATAGATTTATAGCGATCACTGCAAGCTTTTAATATTTAGGTGAAGAGAAATTTCAGACTATCAATCACAGGCACTTGTTTCATATACGGTGCACCCCTACTTATTTTTACCACAAGGTATCTAACTCAATTTCAGGCACCCCCACTTCAAGCTCGTATTTTGTTCATGTATCATTATCAATCATTAACCTACTTTAAAATGACATCGTTCGCTTCAAGAGACTTTTTTCTTGTCAAATAAATCATTTCAGACGTCTCTGGTCGAGTCTCTTTATTGTAAAGCACTCATTTATTCCACGAAAATTACCTCGATACATTTTAAGACTTTAGATGGGATACAACTTCCAGTTGGGGGTAGAATAAAACCAGAGACTTCCGAGTATTCCATTCCGAGGTCTCTGGTTTTATCCTTCATTTATAACCCCAACCGCAAATTTGTATCGAAAATTACCTTGATACATTTTAAGACTTTAGATGGGATACAAATTTCATTTTTTTCACAGGTCACGAGGTTTCAACTTAAAAAATAAAAATTCTCACCGTTGGAAATTTTAGCTTGATGTGTTGATAATTTGCCAAATTATTATGTAATAAAGGGGACTTTATATGATCACCCGGCGCTGTCGCTTAAGTTCAGTCTTCACAACAATTCTTTTTCAGCAATTGCCCTTCGGGCATGTAGACCTATCATTTTTACCCAGCCCATTCAAATTTGTACATGTCCTACTCAAAATTCTTACATTTACCAGTATTGTGCAAAAAAAAAAACCCATTAGGTATAAAGGTTTTATATTAATTTTTTCAGCGTCGTAAACCAACCATGGCCTGTGATTGCCATTTTTGTTCATAAATAACTTTTGAGTTGCATGCTGGTCATTTGTTGGCCGGTTTAGCTGAACTGAATTTCAGAAATGGGATCATGACTGTAGTGCCACAGTATGTGGCATTGATGAACATCTCGTAATTTAGCAAGCAACTTCGAGAAAACAAATAGGTTAAACTAAACACTTCAATGATTAGATTGACAATCATTTGACAGGTCGTATCGAGAATGTAGATAGGCAATCCATCAACATTACATATAGCAACGTTTAAGTGAATAATGGGGGTAGGACAGAGTAAATGGCAAGTAAAGATCGTACAATGAAAGAAGATTCACATATGCCCTCTTCAGACATGTAATTTGGCAATTTTTTCATGCCCGGATGCAAATTTAACAGGTCCCTGTCATTGGACTCCCGGGTTATTTGGAAGACTGTTAGTTTAGTTTCATGAGGTCCAACAACATTGATTCTCAATGTCTGCTCCCTCTACCCCATACACTTATCTTGATAAAATTATATAAATTATATTATTAATTATATAAATTGATATAAATTATATAATCCGGTCTTGTTTATATAATTTTACAATGTCATAAACAGCTGCTTAAGTGCATATAATATTGTACTAAATGGATTTATATATAGGATTAGGGAAAGATCCTCACTTGATTATGGCAGCATATTTAGCCCGAAGGAGTTTATTATCTACCACACATGATCAATGTCACTTTTGGACGTGAATGACTTTTGACACCCTAACTTCAGTTCAAATCAACGTTAACTTTATGTGACGTCTCTCTGAATCTTTTTTGGCATGTAACTTGGGTAAAAACAATTAAGTACTCTTGATGCATTTGATTTCTCTTAGCCCGTTTAAACATTTCCAAGGTCTATACCAGTTTTTGCAGGGGCGAAACTATGTAGAAGTTGGAAAAGAAACCCATCCCCTTTTTGACGTATTTGGTTTTCGAGGGGTGAAAATTTTCAATATTACACTCAACTACATGCAATATTTATTATATTATACTGAATGTTTTATACAAATACAAATAATAGTGAACCTTGAGCGCATAAATCTGCGCAGTCACTATTTTTTGGAATATCACCCGTCGTCAAGCAATGTTGACTGTTGCGACACTGGGCGTGGCTTCATTATTCAGCGGATAATAGTGCTTTTTAACAAATGTTTCTTGACGAATCAGATTAATTCATCTAATATACCTGAAAGTACAATATTAATTAATTGTCATCATTTTCCTATATTAGCATTTTTACTGGTAATGGTTTTGAAATGATAGGAACATGCACTGTTCGTAAAAAGTCTTAAAATGTTGTTTTGGCTCAATTTCTTTGTTAGATTACTGTGTTGAACTAA